AGGTCCCAGTTTTGGATCCATTATTAGTTACCCAGTACGTCCGCCGCGCTGCTCGGCAACGCGTACCGGTGCTTCTCTCTCGCACAGTGACTACCTGTCTCTCTCGCACGGGCGGGCGCCGGCGCTACGCTACGCCCGGTACACGTTGCCGAGCAGCGCGGCGGACGGCGTACTGCGTAACTAATAATGGATCCAAAACTGGGACATCACCAGGTAGGCCCGGAGCGGTCCAGTGTCCCCACCGTATCTCTCTACACCGTGGTTAGAGGGATAAGATAAAGTTATTGAAGTGAAGTTTGCTTTTACTGCCGAAGACCAACTTTTAAATGATATTACTGTACCATTTCTGAAAAAGGATGAAAACCTAAATTTATTCTTCGGCCCAGATCACGCTTATTATCGAGTTCAGGGGCAGCTTTTTGCAACGGACAGAAGTGATGACAAATTGCTGATTTAAACCTTAAAGGTTTTAAGGTAGTGCCCGTATACCTCGAAATGAAGGTTTTATTAGAAAAATGTTTTGTGAACTTGAGATTTTTCTGTGAGCAGAAGTTCATGAAACCAGCCGTTCTACAAAAATATTTGTATACAAATTAAAGAGCAGCGTTTTCTTGCATTTAAGAGTGAGAATGAGTGTTTACTTGTCTTTCAACAAATGTACCTGAACCATTCACCGAAACTTTATTTGAAAAGTAAGTTTTCAAAAAAGTAAGTTTGAAAAGTAAGTTTTCAAATAATTTTCCATTATAATTTGAATAACTTATTTGCATTAGGCTACGGTACAAAACACAGTATATTTTGTGACTTTCCTTGTTATAATTCGCATGTATAATTTTAATGTTGGTATTGAACTTTGATATTGCTTTGATACTAAGCTGTATATTTATTTTGTGATTTTCTGCATCTTCGGTTTTTCAAATAAAGGCAGAAGATAGAATAAGGAAATTTATTTCAATGAGTTTCATTCAAGTCATCAGAAAATTTGTCATTCAGAACATATTTTAGGAGCTAAGCATATTAAGGTGAGGTGTGGGTGAAATTGTGATATCAAATAAAAAATACTTAATTCGTGAAACTTGTGGATTTGAGTTGGCAATTCACAAAAGGTTTCCCCCTCAAAGTTGGACCCAGATTGGTCCAGTGGTTTGGAAGTCGTAGGCAGTTTTACTGAAATTTAGACCCTTTTTCAAAAAATCACTTGCGCATTAGATTTGTACGTGAAATATTTTTTGTTGGTGCTTAACTTTTCTTCGGTCCTGTAGAACATTTCTATAGAGAGATATTAATTTTTAAGCTCTTCAAACTCATACAGGAATTTTGGACCATTTAAAACAACAAAAACTTCAAAAAAGTGCAATTTTTTAGCTTACTATTAATTCTGACCGAGAAACTATAGTGTTTTCTCCCAATATCCACAATGGTCCCAAAGTTCAACATTGAATTGTATCCTCCACCACATCGAATAAATGTCTCCACTAATTTTCTGTTGGCTTCAGAAGGAGGTCTTGTCGAATCTTTGGAAAGTATACGAGGGCTAGAATCTAGCTTACTTGCAGGTCTTCACAACCTGAACAAACAATCTTGATGGTAAATGCAAACCCTCTGTGATTGACTGGTCTCACATCTAGAGATTTTTCCTTGCATTCTTTACAGGAAAATGCATTGGCAAGACATCTGAGAGCAAGTCCACTAATAATAAAAAATTCATCTTAAGAAACATTATGACTAAGGTCGAACAGGCCAAATTTGTTTGCGCTTCTTCCTCTAGGAGTCTGAGGTTCAGAGGGTTCAGGTTGGGGTCGGAGAGGTTGGACGTCACTACCCGGCTGGATGTTGTCGTTAGTCTAAGTTGCGATCGTTCTTGTTGATTTTCCTTGTTCTCGCGAGCTGCGGCGATATGAGCGAACACCTCTATGTTCAGTGTTGTGGGTTTGCATACCATTTCATGCCGCAGGGGCCAAGACGCAATATGGGCTGACAGCATAGGCCAAGCACACCCCGTACAACTAAAAATGTTTACTTCTTTATTTACATTAGGATATATAATTTAGTTTTCTTTATCATGGGTTCGTTTCGCAGTTTACACGAAGTGTTAACGTTTTTGTCTAAAACTTCAATTTTGCTATAATCGACTAATTTAGGGTGTTGCACAGGTTCGCTAAATTGTCTATAAATTCTAAACCACTTCGAATTTTTTAACAAACGAAACACGATTTGAAAGAGGAAGAATAGAGGTACATTTTAGGCACATAAAACAAAAATCGATTTTTTGTCTATTTTAGCCCCAAATTTCACCCACACCTCACCTTAACTTATAATGTTCTCTCCAAAATTATGTAATATTGAAACTATACAGGTAAAATTTTAGATGCCATTGGGCGGTAGGAAGGTACTAATGGTGTTAGGAAAATTGTGTAACTCTTGATCAAACCTATTATTCTTTCAATGTGTCCTCTTTTTGATGCCAACTTCCTATTTTTGATGAGTGTACCAACAGCCAACTGTTTTCGTCCTTTGAGAAAGTTTGGCATATTGATGTAAACAGAGTGTGGAGCATAAATATCTATCTTCCATTATACTATCCCCTTTGCAACATTTTTTTTTCACATCACTGCGCTTCACAAATTGTCGATTACTTGCAGCACCCCCATAAACATTTAATCTAAAACTTACGATGCCGTCTGTACGGCAGCCCACTTAAACCTTCGCTGTATTCCTATTCTTACAGCTGCTAAATGTTGCCTGCTGTGCAGCCAGATATGTAGGCTTGGTAATTGGAATTTCTGTGGCATCAACAATAACTCTAGTGACTGGATAACACTGTTTAAATTCCTCTGGCATATAAAACTATCTTTCTTTTTATGAAACAAATCTCAATTCCTTCTCGAGTTATCGTGCATATAGAAAAACAACAAATGAAACTATTTCGGTCAGTGGAATAGTGGGCTTCGCTTTTTGCTCAGCCAACCGCAGCCAACAACAGAAAAATCAAATCGATATAGTATTTTGTCTTAGCGCATCTCTCAGTATCGATAAATGCAGTGCAGTGATCACTCTGATTTAAAACAAAACGTTAACAATTCTTGTTAACCATAAACGAACCCGTAGTTTAGAAAATTTTCTGTTTTATAGTTTCGAGCCATATTTTTTGAATAAAGAAGTTTGCGCCGCGTCATAGCGCCCTCTCACTCGTACAATCTGCTTATGGACACCATGTAGGCATTTCATGCATGCTCGCTGCATTTTTCTTGTTCTTGATGTGTCTTTTTGCATGATATTTTTTGAATTAGCCTATAATCATTACTTTTATAATCGACCACAATTTTTGGCATGAGCGCTGAGCAGCGCGAGGGGGGGGGGTGACTACTACATAGCAAGGTGTCGTTTGATTTGCTCGAGAGTGGGCTCATTGGAAAGCCCGTTCAATTTCCTGTAAGATCCCACTTTCGGTATCATGGGCAAACGCATACGAGCGACGCTACGGGGCCGAACGCAAGCCGCCCGCGCCGCTCAGTGACGTTGCGCCCCTCCCCCCCGGTCGAATTTGGGGGGGGGGGCATTTAGCCCCACCTGCACCCCACTTCCGCGGCCCCTGCTGAAAGGGATATTCACTGTCGTGCAGGAACTTTCGTTCAATGGGCCCTGCAGGAAAAATTACTATACTGGCATTGGTTTGGCTCTCGCTATGCTAAGAGATGAAGACCATGTCCTTTTGTAACCGTGATACCCGGAAAATAGATCCTAAATGTTTCGAGCCGATACTGTAAAGACAGCTTTGAGGAGCTGTGCAGAAATGCTAGAGACTGTATGGAGACAGTTTACAAGATGCTATCTAGATGTTGAAAAGACGGCGTCCAAACAATTGGGAGATATTCTCGATGTCTGGAGAAATTCTCGAACGTCTGCTTTTGGCGAGACAATCGAGGTATCACATCGAGGCAGTTTAGAGACACTTTCGAGAGGGAATGAATGGAAACAGCGCCAAAAATGCCACCTTACGCTGGTTTGGCCGTCGTCCACACAGCCTGACAACTACACGATAAAGACGCTGACACTTCACAGCATGAGGTGCTCGAAAGTGTGCTCCACTCCCCGCAGCCTCAATGTTCACTCTGGCCCTCACAGTAAATTGCTTACGAAAAATAGGTTTGTAATGCCAACCAAAACTTTCGTAGCTTATCAAGCATTTTGAAGCGTTGTATCACGAACTAATTGTTCGTTAATTATTTACAGAGCGGAAGGTTTTCGGTTTGACACTCGCACGGCGTCGCTGTCTGCTTTTCTGCATCCAATTTTTCTGGCGCTATTTCCATTTATTCCCTTTGGCGAATGTCTACAAACTGCCTTGAGGTGGTAACACCTCGATTCTGTCTCAGCAACTTTTCCCGAGCCATCGAGAATATCTCCTAATCGTCTTGACGCTGTCTTTTCGCCGTCTGAACAGCGCCTCGTAAACTGTGTCCATACAATCTTAAGCATTTCTCTACAGCTTTTGAAAGCTGTCCTCACAGTATCTCGGCTCGAGACATTAAGGGTCTATATCTTTCTGTTCGGGTGGTGTCGGTCAGATTCCACCTTGGTTTGACGTTTGAGTGGCGCAAACGATGGAGTTGGTTTCACTCAATTTCCCACATTTTTGGCAGCTGCGCGGAATCAGAAAGTCCTACCTCTTTTAGTTTCAGTAGCGTTTGAGATTAAAAAAAAAACAAACCATTGAGATGTTTGTGGGTAACCGGGGTTGGGGGGTGTTGTGTCAGAGGTAGAACGAAGGCCAATAGAGTTCTTCTGAATATTTCATGGATTGCAAATCGTGGTGAAGACTCGATTTAACCCTGCTGCATAGTCTTTTTGCATGTTGAAATGGGCTTTCTTCGTGGTATAGTTTTAGATGACTGCAATTTTAAAATAGAATGTATTTGGTTATCATGTATTCAGGCTTCTCGAAAGTTGTTAGTTTGTTGGTCCTCGTGACAGGTTCTAGAAGCATACCTTATGTTAGTCATGTATCATTAATGGTTCCTTCCTGTTTCCAGGTGTCGTTTCGGCTTCATCCGCGTGCTGTAGCGCAGACGTTTCTTCTTCTGCTGTAGATCAAACTCCAATGGTTGGCTCTGGCAATGCGTGCATCGCATGTTTCCAGTGCGATGAAGATTTTTCTTTGTGGGACAATTTCAATAGCCATTATTTGCGGGCACACAGCGATGCACAGTCTGCTCTTTGCGCCGTGTGCCTGGGCATTCCTCTCCACCCCATGGAATCCCACTTAAAGGCGCACGAATTGGTGGCCGATAAGTTCAGATGTCCTTACTGCAGCGCTAAGCTTCTCGACGATCGAAAACTCACAGAGCACTTGCGAATATTCCACCGAAGGTTGTCTTATTGAATAAAGAGAAGTCCCTACGGTTCATTCTTGTTGGTCTTGTACTCTGTGCTCTGTTTCTAGGCAGTCTCCAAGACTGTTTCTACCGAAAAGTAATAAAACGTGCCCCTTCCCTTCCCATTCTCATACCCTTCCCACCGTCCGGCGGGGACACTCCGCTGGGTGGTACCGCTGTGCTCAGCTTTTCCCCCTCCCCTCGCCCAGCTCGGCCACGCCTCCGCTGGAACCTCTGTGGCCTGTTCAAGGGTGCGTTCCCTTGCCTAGCCCTGTGGGCTCCTTTTTTTAAATTGCATGACACATAAGGGCTGTCGTTAACTCAAATAGTGAACTGCATAAAGCTTGCTGTGAAAACTAGCGTGTTTACCCCGCAAAAAATTATAACTGAGCCAGAGCTGCGGAAAAACGGATTTACAAGGGAACCTTTTCAGGTGTAAATCTCCAATTTCGTTGGAACTCGGAAAGTTTAAAGGTTATTATAATAGAAGTCGGATGGAACTTCAAAATATTTCCTAAATTAAATATTTACTAGGGGTTTACTTAAGCCGGACACTTTGTTTCTCCCAAATATCCCTCTACCGCCTTAACGGTTCAAAACACAAAATTTCGGCCCAAGGGGCATTACTTTGACAAGTTACCCCTCAAAACACTGCTTTACAGATTTCAAAAAAAATATTTATCTAAACCTTACTCCAAATTACCCTATGAAGGAGAAAACTAAATGTTAGGTTTTGGAAAAATGACTCTTACTGACAACATATCAGTAACCGTTATTTATTCTCGGGCCCCTACTCAAACCTGACATCTCCACACACACGCAACGGAATTGCTAGCTAAAGCGAGTCTTTGTTTCAGCTAAAAACCGAACTTGGTATTGCTGAAGTTAGCTGAATCACCTTACCTCGGCCATATTAGCGCTGAATTGCAGTGCTTCCTTCGAAAATAAAAACATGGTATAGAGCCAAAGCTCAGGGCAATAGTCAGTTCGGTTTTTAGCTGAGGCAAAGACTCCTTTTAGCAACAATTCCGTTGCGGATGTTGTCAGGTTTAGTAGGGGTCGAGAATAATTGACCGGTACTTAATGTTTGTTGTCAGTACTAATCAGCTACATGTGATAACATGAGTACATCTGAAGTTAAGGGGCCAGACCTGTGAATTGAAGGGTTTAGGAAAATAGTCACCACATAAAAACTAGTTTCTATGTACTGACGATTCTTGCAAACCCTTTCATTTCACAGGTCTGCCCCCTTTAGATTCATGGCCGTATCAGTTACTGATAATCACTAAATTCTCAACATCTCTCTCACAAATTATGGTCAATGTTGATATTATGTGCAGACAAGCAGTAACGTAATGTCAGCTGAGTGACAGCTTCGTTCAATCTCCGTGCCAGCCTAAAGTCAGCCAATATCAGCCAATCCCCTGTGATCAGTTCGACTTAGTCAATGTCATCTAATGCGTCTAAACAGCAGGTAACTCCGTTTTTCCACAGCTCTGGCTTAGTTATAATTTCTCCCGGCTATTTCGCAGCAATTGTAACCTTTGTTTATGAGCGTAGCTGCTGGCCAATGCATGTGCTCGAATTACATTTGTTTGAAAGCGAGTCACGATCTCGTCGACGCCACGAAGAAGCGTTACCGTTTTTGTTCAAGCCGAAGAAGACCATGTTGCCGGGTGGGGTACACTTGAAGGTCAAATTTTAAATCAATTCATTACCACTTAGAGGTTATTTCGTTCGCAACGATTCGTGTAGTGATGAGTTATTTCGTTCGCATCGATTCGTGTAGTGATTAGCAGTTTTCTTGAAACAAATCATTTGTCGAACCCGTGCATGTTAAAGCTCGTCACAGCTTTGCCTCTTCATCTGTGTGGTCACCCAACGAATCGTGCAGAAATTTAACAAACGGGAATATTTGTCAACAGCGTGAGCATGGTATTGCGGGTAAGCGAAGCGGCAGATCTACAAGGCGGCTGCTATTATCCTCGCCATTTGTAAGACTGAGCATGCGGAGTACACTCTGTGCCGCCCCTCTGCACTCTCCCTGCCGTGCAGGAGCAGCACGGCCGGAAGTTTGCAGCCCGGAACCTACTGCAGACCGGATAGTTCCGTTTAAGCCGGCCGCACCGCTTACCCGAAATGCCCTATTCAAAAATTTTAGACATCTGCTTAAGGTTCCGGGACGGTAGTATAAAGTCTCAAGCTGCGGAGACTATTGTGCAGCGATTGGGAGAATACTAACTGAGGCAATTATTTAGTCATGAAACACTTTTGTGACCTTTTTTACCTCACGGTTTACTTGAAACGGGTACTTCAACGCTTCATTCTTACCAAGCGGTTGGACTCGTGGATTTCCAAAATTAACTAAACACACTGTTAAAAATTTCTTGGGATTTCGCGAAGATTCTCTATTTACCACTATTATAATTTCCCAGAGCACTCCGTTCTTAGTTTTTAGCCCGCCCTTCTGCTTTGAAAAAACTATCCAGCGGGATGATGCAAACGACCCCGTGTCTGTCTGCCTGTCTGTCTGTTTCACTAGGAGATGTGCTAGAGACTTGAAATTTTCAGGGTACCTTAAGGTCCACTCCTAGAGAACGAAACGCCTACGGCAAATCCTGGCAACCACCCCTAAGGGTGTGAATGGGGGTATTCAAGGTTCAAAAATTTTCCCGAAAAGTAATTTTTTTTATGTTCGCCTAAGAGGTTACACGACAAATAAGATTCCTTTCGCCGAAAATTTCGTCCGTTTCGCTCTATCTCTAACCGTTTAGGCGCTAGAGAGTCTTTTTTCTTGGCGAAAATAAGCTTAAAATTGCCATAGTGAACAATAAGTTGTAGAGAAGGGCCTAAAAACCGCAAAATAGTGATGAGACTCTCTTCCCCCACCACCAAAAATCGTTTTCTAAGCAGAAGGGTGGGTTGTAGTCGCGGTGCTTCACCGTTACATCCCTTTCTCGTGTCTACGGGGAAAACTCAAAGACTACGGGTTTAAGCGGGCCGAAGGCCCGCTACATCATTCGATCATGTTCTTCAGCAAATCATGTGACAGCAGTGGTCGGGCTGCAGGCCCGACCATCGCCGCCGGCAGGCCCGGCCCCTGCCGAACGGAGTTGCCGTCGGAGCGAAGCAGAGCTGGCAACTTTGTTTGGCGGAACACTTGCTGTGTACTAAAAAAGATGTTGAAGGTGGAAGTTTTTATTCGTGTATGTGTTTCAAAGTTAAACTCGACCCGCGAAATCTACAGAGTTCTTTGGGAAATCCCAAACGACTTTGTCACTACTTTTCACGAGTGTTTCTCCGTGAAATCCCAGGATTTTTTCTAACAGTGCAGATCGGTTCTCAAGGGTTGGCCTACCGTTTAGAACCGATCTGTTAAGTTGATTTCCGAAATATGTTTTTTTTGCAAGAACCGTAACTGAAAGGGTCACAAAGATGGCATAGTGACGTCCTCCATAACCCTAAGCTCTTTGGGTCCTGGATATTCTTTTGAAACTTCGGTGGCTAACAGTTATCTAAATATCGGAACTCTTGTCTAAATAACAGTATATTCTTCTTTCTTACGCTACTCCTTTGGTTGCAGGTTCGTCAGGCAGACCTCGCATTTGTGTACGAAAGGAGTTCCGCAGCATGCTCAGCCCACCGAACATACTTTCGAAGTCCTGCACTGCTCCTTCATCGGTCTTGTGTGCAGATAGAAAGGTGTCTGCGGCATGTTCTGATTTTGATTTGGTGCGGCTGTCGGCAAATCCGAAACTAAAGCCCTACGTTTTGCTGCCCAAGATTCCAATCAGAAAGACCGATGATCCTGGGCGCGAAGGGCTTTGCCTGCAGCAAAATGACAATGAAGTACCAGGTGTATCTAGCTTGCGATCAGAGGCTGTTGCCAGTGCCGATGCTCTGCTGGGTGAGGCTCGGAAAAGTCGGCGTGGTGCTCTGGGGATCGGCTGGTGCTGTAGTGCCAGTTGCAGCTCGTCTTTCTGGTCGTGGGAGGAATTTGTGCAGCACTTTAGAGCGTCTCACTCTAAGGGAAGTGCAGCTCTGTGCGACCTTTGTCTGTTTTATCCAGAGCATATGGATACCCATATGCTGATGCATAGATCTGTGTGGGAGAAGTATGGATGTCCTATCTGCACTGCACAATTTCTAACTGGAGAAGACCTGCATCACCATCGTCGTCTGTACCACCGCATTTATGCTTAATATTTCTAGTATACTGTTACCTCTATAGCTTTATATTGAAAAT